GGGGGGTGGGGGGGAGGGCTGTGAACAGGGGAAGGGTTCCCTAGGGTTGAAGGACGAGGTAGCGTGGGTGAAGGGAAGGTTCCAGGGGTTCATGTCCCATCCACATTGGGGGGTTTCCCCACTGACCCCTAGGAGGCCGAAAGCGTTGTAACTGCAGCACTTTGTGTGTCTCTGATTGCCAAACAGTGTTTGGTGAGGAAGGCGAATACAGAAAGGTGTGAAGAAGGGAGTGGTGGATTCAGCTTTTACTGACCCCATACTAAGCGCCCTGGTGTGGCATTGTGGGTTAATGTGCTAGACTGCAAAGTCGGTTTGAACTGCAAGGTTGGTGATTCAAGCTCACCAGTCGCTCCTTAGAAACCTTCTACAGGGTCACTATGGGTCGGAACCGATTTGTTGGCACTTAACAACCACAACAACAACTATGTGCCCGGAGTCCTGGTGTGGTGCTGTAGGATAAACACTAGGCTGCAAACCACAAGGTTGGCAGTTCAAGCCCACCAGTTTTTTCTCAGAAACCCTTTACAGGGTCACTATGAGCCAGAACCGACTTGACGGTACCCAGCATGAGCTATGGACCCAGGCCCCAGCCCTGACTCGGAATCTTACAATCTCCTCACCTATCTTCTAGTGGTCCCAGATGCTGTTTAAAAGGGTTGAGAGGGAATTGTGAGAATAAATTGGTACCTTCCAGAGTTCAAAAAGTGTGAACCTCCCTGTCTCCCCATGCCATCCTTCTATGGTGGCTTTCAGACTTCCTCTTTTTCTCTGAGCCTCCACCTTACCAAACATGATATCCTTCTCCAATGACTGGTCCCTCCTGACAATATGTCCGAGCTATGGCAGTGGGCAAATCAGCACCTTCTTTCAGCTCCATTGCCTCATTCATCTGGAGAAACTCCTCTTCTGTCTAAATATTAAGAAGCACAAATCAGTAAGGGCCTTCTCGTATCTAAGAATCTGCTGACCGGCTTACATGGGAGGTCCTCAGTGCTGAGTGTTCAGCACATCTTATCTCCCAAAAGAGCCCAGATCCTCTGGAGGACACAAAAGCCGCTACTAGATGGAAAGGAACTGGCGGCTTCCTCCTGGCAGAGATGGCTGTAGGTCTGGGAGTAATGAGCCCAGAGAAGGAAGAGAACAAGGGATCTGAGCATTGTCTGCAGATTTCTGGGTTTAAGAAAGTGCACCTAGTCTTCTTGTGGTCTTAGAGATAAACTGTAACTTGGACTTGCCAGTAGTATGGAAATGAATCAACGCTGGTTCTATGGAATGGTTCACCTTTCTACCTAGAAAGCTCCCCTGCTAGGAAGGGTGCAGGCCTATGATCAGCTGCCACAGGGGGGCTGCAAACATTTCATTAGGGATCTGAGGGTATTTAGGAGAGGCGGCCTCTGGACTTCAGTTTCCCTCCCTGGAGAATGAATGGGGATTATCACACCTGCTTCATTAAGGTGTTAAGGCCTGGCCCAGAAGAGGTGTCCTCTCCTCCCTGCCATGTCCTCTGCCCCACATAGATTTCCTTGTGGAATCTCAAAGTTGAGCACCTACTATCGGCCTAGCACTGAGTCAGCCTGTAGAGGGTAGACATGGCCCAGCCTTCAGAGTGTGTCCCGACTTGCATGTGACAGACCAGCAGGCAAAGTGTGCTGCTGTAAGGCCCTCAGCTTGACTGAATGGTGGGCAGGTTGGAGGCAGAGTTGGAGTAGTCAGAGGAGACTGACTCAGGCAGGGCCTTAAACTACATCCCTCACAAAGCATTTAAGGTATGGGGTCCCATGTAGTCAGCTCAGGTGACAATGGAATATGGTATAAGGGATGTAGGGGTCCTGGGCTTGCCTACTGAGATGTGACTTCCTCCCAGGTGGTTGGTGGACCTATGGCCCTGGTGGTAAGCGTGCACCATTTGGCCCCAAGTATTGAGTACCATACTGACCTCTGAACAATCCTGAATACACATCCAGCACCACCATGCTGGTGAGTATCCCGTCAGCTCCTCTCTCCTGGTTATTGGGAGCTCCCTGCACTTCTGCAGATACTCCATTTGGTTTTCTGCCTTTGCCCATGCGGTGCCCTACATCCACAATGCCTTTTCTCTCTTGAGCTCCTGGAAAATTCTTGTACATGCTTCAAAATCCCTCTTGAACCTCAACTCTTCCAATTTATCCTCTTCCCTGACCATCAGCTCCTCCCTCCTGAACACCTCTCATTGCCTTTGTGCTTAGTTTACAATGGGATTGCCTCCCTCCACCTGAAGCATCATAAAGGCCAAGGGAGACACTACCCTAAAACTCAAGGCACACTTGTGCTTCAGGTACCCACTAGTTTCTGGTGACCCAGTGCCTCCTGGTGACGCTCTTCTCAATGGCCCCCTCCCCCTAGACTTGGACAGGTCAGATTTACCTTGGGCAAGTTACTGAGCTTCTTGGAGCAAGAGTAGTAACCCCAGCCCCAGCCCCAGGGCAGAGAGAGATCAGATCCTGCCTGTTGGGCTGGCTCAGCAGGAAGACCTCCTTCCTGAGGTCCAGCCACCAGCCCTATTTCTTCCAGGCCTGGCAGTGCAGAGCTTACACTTGAAGGAGGCCAGCATCTGGGAATTACATATTCATGATGCCTGATGGGCACTCAGAGGGGCCTGGCCACATCTACATCTCCACAGGTGAAGTGCAGCATCCTCAGAAAAGGTGGGTGATCTGGGTCAAGCCTCAGCTCCAACAGTTGCTTGCTGTGCTCCTGTGAATACGTCACCTCACCTTTCTGAGCCTCACTTTCCTTATCTGTGAGTGGGGAACTAGTACTTGCCACATGCAAAGCACTTACCACACAGCAGATGTTCACTTAGTTTCCTCTACTAAACCCCACACATATTCCCTCTGAAGTGGGAGATGGAGGAACCTCCCCTATCCTTGACCCTTGGTGCCATACAAGGGTAAAGAATTAGGGCAAACGATTTTGGAGCTGTGAGGTTAAGCACAGGGATTATGGCTGGTTGGAAGTCTGGCTTTGCCACTTGTTCACTGTGTGATCTTGGGCAAGTCATCTAATCTCTCTGCGCCTTAGTGGAAAGAACATTTCCCTTGGGACTTTCCATGGTGCTTACTCAGTCCCTGGGTGGGGTCTTGGGCCTCCCTCCTACCCAGGCAAGCCTCTCTGAAGTCACCATGATCCACATTTGGTTTACCTCAATGTCTTCCAGCACACCCTGGGGGTGCCTGGAATAGAACCCCAGGCTCCTGACAGCTTGGAAGAGGCGGGCAGGTTGCAGAGGTGAGTGGGCCTCAGTAGGCTGCTAGGGGCCTGCATTCCCTCCCCAAGTAAGGTCAGGCTCCCACCCACCCCCTTCCAGAGCCTTTATTCTGGTAGGAAAAATTGTCCTTAGCAGTCCAGACCATACGTTTACCCTTCCCTCTAAGCTGCCCCCCACACATACATTCTGGGCCTGCCCAGGATGTGGTTAGTGGGAACATGGCTCAACCCCTGTCGGTGGCCCTGGCTTCATTGCTGATACTGATGGGCAACAGGGCTTAGCCAAGTCCCTAAGATGAAACTGGAACTCAGTTGCCCTAAGTAAGTCCCAGCTCTGGACTTTCCTGACATTATCTCTGAACATGGAAGCACCATCTATACCACTGGGATCTATATGAGATGAACCTGCCAATGATCACTTCTCCCCACCTCCCACCCGCAGCCAGCTCGTCTCCTTAAAAGCTCTCTTTCTCCCCACAGGTTCCTAAGCACACAAGTGGGATCAGCCATCACCTCCTCTGATGTGTGGGATGGTACTGGGGAGGTCAACATAGCTGTCACCTTTCACCTGAAGCACCAGGCTCAGGTACTGCCTCGGACTACTGAGAAACAGCCACCCTAGTACCCTTGACCCAATAGGGCCCTCTACTTACATCAAGGTCTAAAACCTTTAAGGAAAATATTCTCCTACAACCCATCCCCATTGTCCTCAGGGAAAGAAGAAAAGTAACTTAACTGTAGTCACTCATGCTAGGTCCCTTCAACAAGCAGCATCAATTTAATTCTTCAATCCCAACCCCCATTGTTCATAGACATAAAGGGAATCTAAGAAGCTCTGGTAGCGCAGTAGTTACCAGTCGGGCTGCCAGCCTCAGGGCCAGCAGATCGAAACTACCAGCTGTTCCAAAAGATGAGGCTTTCTGCTCCTATAAAGATGTACAGCCTCGGAAACCCTGTATGGGGTTGCTATGAGTTAGAACCAACTCCACGACACATAACCACCACCAAAGGGAACCTGGTGGCATTGGTCCCAGTTTGTACATTACAGAGATGGGACTTCATCCTGTTGTTGTTAAGTGCTGTTGAGTCAATTCCAACTCATAGCGACCCTGTATAGGGTTTCTGAGGAGCAGCTGGTGGGTTTGAACTGCTGACCTTGTGGTTCAAAGTTCCAGGTTTTGTGTATGTGTGTTTTTCACAATTACACAGACGAGTTTTTACGTAAGTGGGCTCATACCACACGGAATATTCTGCAACTTTTTCTGTTACTGAACAATGTATTGTCGAGATCTTTCCACATCAGTCTATAGAGCGCTGTTTGCTCATCTTAGCAGATGCAGAGTACGTCCCCCCCCCTCACTGATGGGCACTTAGTTTGTTCCCAGTTTTCAGTATTATACCTCACCTTCCCTTCCACCTTCAGCCCCTTCCCCGTGACCCCCCTGGTGCTTCAAACACTGAGACCTCTGCATTCCCCACTATCTTTCTGCTCTCTCTCCTTTTCTATACACTCACACCTGTCTGGTGTCCCCATATACATTCACAACCCATACTGCTCACACCTGCCCTGTCCCTGTTTCATGTCCCTAGGCTTTCCCTCAAAAGCTGGTGGAGCCTGTCTGTGCCTTCTAGAACCTCAGTAGCAGGTGAGTTTCTTTCAATACAGCATTTGATTTTGTTTCTTAAAGACACCCACTCTGCTCAGGGATGAGGTAGGGCTCAGGTGTTTTAGGTGTTCGCTCACCAATCCCCTTGCTGAGGTAACTCAAGACCCCACTCAGTCCAGGCCAGCTGGGGCAGGAGAATGTGTTACCTAAGAGGTAGTGAGCCTCCTGCCATATGGTGTATGCAAGTCTTCTCTCTGAAGTGCCTGGGAAGAGACTCATCACAAAGATGAGCATAAGACTTGACTGTATCTGAAGCTAGGCTCATGGAGTATCGGAAGGGGCAGAAGAGGGTTCAGAAATTAACCCCAGCTTCCTTCTAGGACCTTATGCTGAAGGAATCAGCATTGATCACTTTGCTTAGTAAATACTATAATTAATCAGTGATAACCAGTCACTGATATCAGCCCTGTCCACCCACCCCTGAGAGGGTGAAGTACATTTTACAGATGGGAAACTGAGGCCCAGGGAGGGGTAGTGACTTGCCCAAGGTCACATAGCTGGTAGAGAAGAAAGGCTTTCTCCTGCTTGCCACCTGCCATGACCCCACCTCCATTCCACCCCTGTTCTAAGCCCTGACACAGGGGGCTCCTGGGTCACCACTGGCTGCTCCGTGGCCATCCTGTACCAAGACTCCACCATCTGCTTCTGCAACCACAGCACCACATTTGCTGTCCTGTTACAGGTGCCTGGGAGTTAAGGGAGGGAGGTGGTGACACAAGCAAATCTCAGTGGACAAACAGGAGTTAAGCAAGACGGCATTCACTGATACGAGTTGAGGAGCAGTAGCTTTGAAGGACTGGAAGGCTGCAAGGTAGCCTTGTCACACGAAGCTTCAAGTGCAAGGCCAGGAGTCCAGGGAGATGAAGCGGAAGGTAAGTGTGGGTTAGGCCCTTGAATGCTGCCTCACCAACTCAGACTGGGATTCTGTGTGGCAGAGGTGGCCTTGCAGTGTTAAGCAGGCTTTGGATTTGTCTATAGAGCGCCCTCTGGTGTCGGGGAGTGAGACTGGAGGCAGAGAGCGCTACTAGGAAAATGTGGACCTGGTCTAGGCAGAGAAGGGATCCTGGTTGGGGGGAGGAGGTAGGAAGGAGACTGAAGGAGGAGGAGATGGTCACTCGGGGATGAAGGACTCATTTCTGAGAGGTCATAGCAGGAGGACCAATTTGGGAAATGGACTTGGGTGGGACCTGGGAATCGGGTCAGAAAGGGGGTCTCTGCTGGAGGTAACACTGTTGCCAAGATGATAGTGGTGTTAGTGCTGTGGAGACCATTCCGACTCATAGCGACCCTACACAGGATTTCCGAGGCTGTGACTCTTTACGGGAGTATAAAGCCTCATCTTTCTCCCGTGGAACAGCTGGTAGTTTCAAACTGCTGACCTTGAGGTTAGCAGCCCGACTTGCAACCACCACGCTACCAGACAGAGCTCCTTGTGGCCAAGGTAAAGACAAAGGTAATAGGAGACAGGACTCTGAGGGACACCAGCTTTTAAGGAACTGAGGAAAACCAAGGTGCCGGTGGCGCACTGGAGCCAGGGAGGGGATCTGGCTGTCACAGGCTCAGAGGTCAAGTTGGATACCCTGAGGAACACACAGCGTCTGAGCCCCATGAATACTGGGGTGACTCAGCACATTTTTCTATGTTCAAAACAGTACTTGCACAACCCTACTTCTAGCGGGGCCCACCTGTGTGTGGGAGTCACATATGACCCCTCCCAATGGGGGTGCCGGTTGTTTCCACTCTAGAGCTCTTAGTAACTGCCGAATCAGTGGAAGCTGGGCCGACTGGGGCCCACTAAGAGAGGGCACATGAAGGCCAAGGCCTCTACCCTGCCAGCTGGGGCCAGCTTGGTGAGGTTTGGTCTGAGTTAGGTCAGCAGGGTGAGGGGGTGACCATACTCTGAGTTGTCTCTGTCGCTCTCTGCAGAGAGGCCCTGAGGAGGAGTCACTGCTGAGGATCCTTTCACCTGTGGGCTGTGGAGTGTCCTTCTGTGCCCTCGCTTCCACCTTCGTGTTCTTCCTGGTAGCCGGGTAAGGAGAACTCACCCTGGGCCCTACCTGCCCTTCATGCCCCCATGTCCCCCTCAGGTCAGGTGTCCATTCCTGACCCTGGAGATCCTTAGGGTGTGCCAGCCCCCTGTAGATCTACCCTCTCAGCCTTGATGTCACAGATCATTAGCCCAGCCACAGGGGACTTAGGAGAGGGGCAGGGGCCTGAAAGGGCATGGGGTTGCTGCTGGTGTCCTTATTAACTGATTCCTCTGTCTGACCAGGTTCACCAGGTTAGAGTGAGCCACAGTCCACAAGAAACTCACCTTCTCCTTAGCCTCTGTGGAGGACGTCCTCATGGTCAGCGAGTGGACAAAAGCCAACAAGGTAGGCAGCTAGCAGGTGGCTTTGTGATCTAAGAAGAACCAGGACAGCATAGTCACCATGTCCATGGTTGTCTGCGAGCCCTGCGCCTTCTCTGGGTGGCTCCCAGCTTTACTTGGTCCCATCTTCCTGGGGAGGAGAAAGACCCAAAAAAGAAAGCTCATGGGTGGCTGAACTGGACCTCTATAGGTTGGCAAGGTCAAGTGTGGGCCTGGGTCCCCAGAGCAGGCTGCACCCATGTCTGAGCAAGGTGGGAATAGCCCCACCTCCTGCAGGTGTGTGACGGTCACAGCTGTGATGCATCTCCTCTTCTTGATCAGGTGCTCCTGGATGCTGGGGGAAGGGCTGTTGTGGAGCAAGGTGGTAGTTGTGAGCATGCATCTAGGCCCAAGGATGAGGCTGTACTACGCCATGGACTGAGGTGAGGCTCCTCTGCTCCCTGCACTGGCTCGTCCCCTCAGCTCAGCCTTACAGTGTGTTCATCACCGCCCAGCACCCATCACTCATTCCCCATCCTACTTCATCACCACCTGGGACTCATTTCTACCCAATACCACTCGATACCCAATACCACCTGGCATCTCTAACACAACTCAATTTTCTGGGCTCTGTGAACCTTCAGCTTCACCCAATGACAGTTTTTCTAAATCCTCCCTCATTTTAACTCCCTCAGCGCCCTGCCTCTAGTGCCCTTCCCCTCAATCCTTAAGCAGCTAACTCCCACGCCAGTGGTCGCTAGTCCATCTCTTTCTCCCAACCCTAAGCCCCTACCCAGTCATAGTATTTCCCACTCCCAGACTACCCATGGCCCCAGTGCTAAGCCCACAGTGTCAGGCCATCCCAGCCTTGCTCCCTAGAGCTCCCCAAATCTCCTCAGTGTAGCCACAACTATGGCATAGCTGGGGGCTGCAGCTCTGCAGTGGGACTGGGTCCTAGAGAGGGAAGAGTGGGTGACTCACTCCCGAGGCCCTTTCATCCCCTAGACATGCCTTTGGCCATTGTGGCCATCACCCTGGCCATGTCTCCCCATAACTATGTGGCTGCTGGTCACTGCTGGCTCACTGTGCACACAGACACCATCTGGGCCTTTGTGGGGCCTGTGCTCTTCATGTTGACTGTGAGTTAGGTGGTTTGGGGGCCTGAAGGAAAGGGGATGTGCCAGACTCAGGGAAATTCCTTTTATACTGACACCAAGTCTACAGGCCAACACCTTCATTCTGGTCCACGTGGTGATGGCCATTGTGTCCAGAGCCCACTGCTGTGCCCGTATGCTGAGCCCGCAGCCCTATCTGCAACAGCAGATCAGGACTCAGTTATGATGAGACCCAAACTGGATGAGTCCGAGGAGGGGGTGAGCATTAGGTCAGCTGGTACCAAATGTGAGGGTCCCTGAATGTGAGCACATGTGAGTCCCTGCTATGTGTGCCCGTGTATATATGAGCATGTGAGTGTACCTATGCCCTGGCTGCATGTGATGGTACTCACACATGTGGATTATGTGTAATGTGTATGGTAGTTGATCCTGGTGTCTATAAGCGTGGGAGATGAAGTGTACCCCTACTATCCTAGGGGCTCATTGATATTTGGCAATGTAGGGAAACCCCCAAATCAGACAGTCCCCAGGAGTCCGGGTTCAGAGTGAGTATCTAGACCCCTAGCCCTGCCTAGAACCCCTGTGACTCTCCAGGGCCATGCTCCGCTTGAGAGCTGATTGCTCAGGCCTTCCTTCCAGAGCTCCACCTCCCCTCTGGCCTTCCTCTGCCTCCTGCCATTCTCTGCCAAGGGCAGAACCACCCAAACTAGCCATGTCCTGTAAAAGCCAGGGCTTCTTAGAGAGGGAGGAAGCAAGCACTCCCTGCCTCCATGGCCTCTGGGCCCACTAACCAGGCCTCAGCCTTCCCTCTGGGCAGCTGCTACCCACTTTCTTCAAGCCCCAGTGTCCAGTGCCCCACTTCCTGCCACCTTTGGGTCTTTGGGAAGGAATAAAAGTCCAGCCAGAGGTTCCATCTGTACCTGAGTCGTGAACAGCAGCCTCTGGTCTGTAGCTCCAGCAGTTCCCCAAAGAACCCCAGGTGCTGCTCTCCCCTAGAACCCAGAGCGTTGCCACTCAGTCCTACCCACCTCCCACAGCCCTGCCCACTCTCTCACAGGATCACAGTGAAGCCAGTGCTGGTCCTGCTGCCCATCCTGAGCCTGACCTGGCTGGTGGGCATCCTGGCGCACCTCAGCCCAGCCTGGGCCTATGACCCCATGGGCCTCAATTCCTTCCAGGTACTTCCAGGCCCTGGACAGTCTGGGATTGTTGCCCAACATGCACTGTGAAGCAGGGAGCCCTCCACCATGGGATGCGCCCAACAGCAGGGAGGCATAGCACCCCTTCCCTGGCAGAGACCAGCCCTTCCTCGGAGCCCCATGCTCCCAGCATACCATGGGCTTGAATCCCAGCCTTCTTAGTAGGTGTGGCTCTGGCTGCAAGTCTCCACTCTGACTTAGGGTGGTGAGGGCAGCAGGATGCTGTTGCCATGGTTACTTCAGCTCTTTCTGGGCAGGGTAGGGTAGGTCTCCATTACACTCCAACCTTGTGTGTGCATCTGAAGTGGGCAGAGATGCTGCCAGGACCTAGTGTCACCATCACTGCCATCTCTGCCACCCTCCCTTGTCCTCCTCATTTCTTTGTCTCTGAATTTTCTTTGAGAGATTCATTCTCTATCTCCCAGAATCTGTCTCTCACTGTCTCCTTCTCCTTGTCCCCTTCTTCCTCTTAGCCGTATCTGCTTTTCTGGCATTGATCCAAATGCTGCTCCTTGGTCTCTCTCTGTCTTCCCTTCTGTCTCTTTATCTTGGACCCTCTGTTTTTCTGTTTGTCTCATGCCCTGTCTCTCCCTCTCCATGGGTGAGACCCCCTCCCCCCCTGCCCCTTTCACTCAGCCTCAGGTCTTCCTTGTGGGTCTCCTGGTGAAAGGAGCGGAGAGTATCCTTCTAAGGAGTGGGTGGGGGGCGGTGAGCCTCCGTGTTTTGTACTGCTGACCTTCATAGGACCCTTTCAGGCAGGTCCCTGACTCACATTCAAGGCTTCCTGCTCTGGGACCTGTGAGGTCCCTCTCCTCCCTACTTGCTTCTTGTTCTCTCTTAAGATAAGAGGTGTGACCCTAACAAGGCTGGGGCTTGAGTAAGGGTGACACTTAATAAGGGTGACAAAAGTCACACCCTCTTGTAAAGTTGTGACTCAAGATACAACCTACCCTAATCCTGCCTTCTTACCATATTGTTGTTATTGCATGCCATCGAATACAGCGACCTTGCATAGTGTTTCCAAGGTGAGGCTGGTAGGTTTGAACCACGAACCTTTGGTTAGCAGTTTAATGCTTATCGCCACTCCAGAGGTTAGGATTTACAACACATACTACAAAATGGAGAATAACTACATCAGATCACAAAATGGAGGACAACTACATCAGATTACAAAATGGAGGACAACTACATCAGATCACAAAATGGAGGACAACTACATCAGATCACAAAATGGAGGACAACTACACAATACTAAGAATCAGGGCCTAGCCAAGTTGACATGTATTTTGGATGGGACACAAATCCATGACAGATGGTATCATCCCCGTTAGTGTCTGGGACCCAGGGAGAGAAACAAGATTCTGAGGGTCCCCTGTGCCCCCCAGTATGAGCCTCAGGGAAGAGGCTTTTGTCATTGCACAAATGGCAACGAGGTAGCCCTGGACTCCAAATCCCATCTGTTGCATCCAGGTTAGGGGTAGGGATGGGGATCAGAGAGGGACAGAGGCTGCCTGGGATTGGGCCGTCTGGTGGACTCTGGATGTGTCTGGGTAGCTTTGGCTGTCAGTCGGCTGGTGCCTGGAAACCACTGGGGGGCGCCGTGTCACCAGGCAGTGACGCCCGCCCGCTGGGTCTGTCCCCAGGGTCCGTACATTTTCCTGGTCTCCGCAGCCAGGTGAGTCAGTGGCGGCGGCACCAGCGGCTGTGGGCGCGGCTTACCCGCGTTGTTCCGCGGCCATTAGGAGTCAAGGGAGGTCCCAGGCCTGACCTGATTGATGCCTGTTCCCCGGGTCCACAACGCCGTCCACTGTGCGGGCAGTTGCAAGGACTGAAAGGGTGGGAGGCCCCGCCCACAGGCCGGGTCCGAGGGTTGCAGACTTGCGTGCGCTCTTTTCAGACGCGGTCCATCCCTGCCCGCAGGGCTTCTCGCTCCCCAGGTTCCTGGGACAAGGCCCAGGACAACCCCGCGGCCTTAGTCCCTCCTCTGAGGAATGTGGCTGTGAGAAGTATGGGCCTCACCACGCTCCCTTCCGACTGCTACCCAGTGTCTCAATTTCCCCAGGGCCTAGCCAGGAGGGCAACAACAGATTCTGTTAGCCCATTTGAAAAGCAAAGAAACTGGGCTTTGGATTCCTTAGAAATAGTAACACGTCTCTCTCTTTCCACAGCTTCTCTGGCCCAGACACCTTTCCTGGATCTCCATGAGGCAGGGGATTGTGGTATTCTCCTGGTGGATGCTGTCCCGGGGGCCGTGCAGTGGGGTATGGGTCTAGTGGCCAGGTCAGTCTCACCTCACTTTCTGTGCATTTCTGGCCTTCATTTCCTCCTCACTCATCTTGGGGAAACCCTCTGGGTGGACCTTTAAAGTCTCTGAGAGTGGGATCCCTTCTCAGGGTGGCATAGCAGAGGGAGAACTTCCTACCTCAGTCTCCCAAACTTCTCCAGCTCCACTATTTCCCCCCATCAGGGACCTGCAGCCCCAGAATCCCCACAACCTTCTCCTTCATTGCAGAGCCTGTGAGATGTCCAGGGAAGGGCTCTCAGTGTGGCTAGGAGAGTTGGGGGCATCACAGGAGCTAGGGTGAGGGCTTCTCTGGGGGTTCATAGGCCTCTGTTCCTCAGTTCCTGGGCTGAAGAGCTTTGGGACTTGCTAACTGATGAGGACTGAGCATAATCTCTCAGAACTTGAATGCCAAGGCCACTGGGGTAGGGAGGAGTCATCACCATGGTAGCCAAGGGCCCAGGGGCAATGGGGAGCCAAGGAGTGGGAACCCACTCTCCCTAACAGAACTCCTCTTCCTCAGGCTGTGGAGCTAACAGCATTCAAGACTTCAGGTAGAGCTCCCACCTCAGGAAGGATCTTTTTGCCTTTAGTCTGGACACCCCCTCTGCCTTACTGTAAGAAGCAGTCACACCCAGCTCCCAGCAATCTATCCACACCAACTCCCTACTCTCTGCTCCTTGCTATGCCAGCAGCTCCTCCATGGAGCACTATGGGCTCTGTCCATGAGAAGGTAGTGCTCCCTGGAGAAGGATTAGTTAAGGAATGAATGTAGTTCCCTTTCCAGAACTGGTGAGTTGGGAGGGGCAGTGAGCAGGAGCCTGCCTTCAGCACCCCAACACAACCTCCCCACCTTACTCCCCTCCAAGCCCCAGGAGGAGCAGGTATTTCCTCAAAGACCTTAGTTTCCACAGCTAGACAGTTGAAGGGGCACAGAGAGGGGTCTTGGAGGCAAATGGTAAGGCTAGGGTCATCCCACATTTTGTTTAGGGAGGGGCCTGGGGAGCTCAATTTGGTCTGAATGAAACGGTGGGGACTCTGCTTATTGTCTTTAGACTCTGAGCCCTCAAGAACACTCCCTGATCTTAAAACAGAAACAATCTCCCATGAGGAGCTGGCCCAGTATTGCCCAGCCCCAAACCACATGATCAGTGCTGTCGAGTTGGTTCCAACTCATAGTGACTCTCTATATGGTTTTTCAGGAGCAAGGCTGGTGGGTTTGAACCGCTGACCTTGTGGTTAGCAGTCTAGTGCTTATGCTATAGCACCATAGCAGAGGCCTGTTTATTGAGCTCTCACTGGGCTCTGTGCTGAACTCCAAGCGTTTAGTTTGGCAACCTAGGAAAATGGAACTATTGTATTGTGCAGATGGGGAAGTTGAGGCACTGGGAGGGGCAGCAATTTGCCAAGGTCAGTGGCAGAGCTGGGATCAGGCCCAGCCCCCGACAGGTGAAGAAACTGAGGCTGTACAGTAGTCACATGGGCACATTATAACCCAGGTCTGTGTGACCCCTAGGCCATGCTTCCAGCTGGCCTCTACCACTGGCTAAAGTCTCAGTCCCTTGGAGCCTCAGCTTCCCCTTTTGCAAAATGGATTAGTGGTGCCCCTTACAGGCCTGTTGTTTGGGCACAGGCATAATAAGCATTACGAGGGTACCTGAGCCACCTCCCTCTGCTCCCCACAGCCCCCAGCTCCCTACGCTCCCAGTTCTCCCCCCACCCCTGCTGCAGGCACAGCACATCTTCCATCTTCAGGAACAGGAATGAGAGAGCAACAGCAGCGCCTCTGCGCTCAAGTGACAGTGCCTTTGTCTTCATTGAATGGGTGCGTTGCTAAGGCCCCTCTTAGCAACAGAGCTGCTTCCACTTCGGCCCAAGGCCCTGGCCCCACCCTCTGGCCCCCAACTCCGACCCTGCCTTACAGATTCCATACACACACCTGTGACCCACTCAGGTGGTCTGAACAAGAGTTCCCAGGGAGTGGAAGGAGGCTGCCAGCTGTTTGCCCCTTAGTGCCTGCCACTCAGCCCACTAGGGCATGCAGGAGTTTTTAGGGTGGGGAAACTGAGGGTTAGAGAAGGATCAGGAAGAATGCCTAGGACAAGCCAGGCCAGGATTCCTGCGAGAGATCTCCCACAACCTCAGTTCTCAGCCTCTTCCCCATCCTGGGGTTCCCACCCTGAGAGTCTGCCAGCCTAGCCCAAGGGGAACATTTTCTTCCCAGGATTCTAGAGAAAGCACATCTGGAACTTTCTCTAAATGCCACCCCAACTGGACAGCTCTGCCAAGGGACCCAGCTGGCAGCCTCTGAGTAAGCAGCAGCTCCCTGACCACCTCCTGTCCACAAGCCTCAGCCTCTCCCTCCTTTGATGGGAGCATGAATTCCAGTCCTGTTGCTCCCACCTCCCCAAGCCTCACAGGTTGGTCCTCCATCTTTCTGTCGGATCTGCTCTTCTCCGCCCCGCTCCCCTCCGCCCCCTCACCTGCTCCGAAGTTCCAGTGTGCCTGCAGTGTCTCTGGTAATAAAGGGAACTGTTGAACTTCTGCCTGTCTCTCTGGGGTGTCCCCCCCCCCCCCCGCGCCCCGGCTTGGGGAGAAGGATGGGACCAGGCAGTTGTAGAGGAGGCAGGTAGAAGGGAAACAACTTCTTGGCTTTGGGACTCAAGCTGTCTCAAAGTAGGTGTAGCCAACATTTACTAGCACCTGTTCGTGCTAGGCGGGGCACTGAGTCCTCACCCTCGGCTCTGAA